GCATGGGCTATGGTGAGTGCGTTTTACATATGAGCAGCGTACTGGATTTGCGTGCTGGAATGTTATTAGATATACGAGTAAAATACCTCATAACAGTAATCGATTATAAAACTTTACATAAACAGCAAGCAATTCTTCGAGCGATCAGAGGCAAATATGTACATCAAAAATTACCCTGGAAAGATAATCCTCCTAATGCTACTTGGTAGAACTACCTTCGAGGTTGTATATGTATAATAACTTGGCTAAACTGGCAGAAATTCTAAATGCACTTTCGTGCATGTATCAGATCATCATTCCACATGGACCACCAGAGAACCCAATGCCCATGGATCCATTCTTTCCTCTGCACTTTATGCTTGGACTTCATATGAAGCCGCACATGGAAGAGGTAATGCATTGTAAATGTGGTATCACTTGAGAATTGTGCTAAAAATGTTTATTTCGTACCCAGAAAAATATGGATTTTAGCTTCCTGAACCCTTCGGAATACACGGACATGCTCCTCCACATGATGATGATGAACAGTCTGGTGAGATAGAGGAACTGACTCTTCATCTTTCCCGAATTTTGGTAGCTTTATGACTGAATACTGTAGTTTTGGAATCAGACCATCCAGCAAGAAAATTTGGCTAGTATCCCTTCAGAACAGAAGCTTCCTCCTTATCATCCTGACGGTCCTCCAAAAGGGCCAAAGATGGGCAATTCCAAGCAAAGTGCTCAAGTCATCAACAATTACTTCATTTTTGCGAAGGAATTAAAGAAGGTAGATATCAATGCATTACCAAGGTTTGAAACTGGTACATATCTGATTTAGTTATTCGACGTCAAAAATGGAGCTTTGCCGTGGAGTCCACCAGCTGAATCTATAAAACGAGAGATGTTTGAGCATGGGAAGGAATCCAAATTGCCTGAGGGATTGCTTCCCCAACAACCGCCAAATTTACCTGGAACTGCTACCCCTGTTATAGAGGACAAGGAGGAATCTTCGAAGGAACCTCAGCCCCTTGTTGTTAAAACAACTTTGACTCCTGACATTGTAAGGTAGCAATGCACACCGCAGTCTCGAAAACACCTTGAGACTCTGCCAAAATCATTTAATTCGAAAACTTGTCTTCTCTAACAGCAAAGTTTTGCTG